AAAAAAAAAAAAAAAAAAAAAGAAGAAAAAAAAGAGCAGAAGAACAGAAGGAAATAGATATGTCGGATACAACTCTACTAAGTAATATACACTCCAAAAACCTTCGGTTAGACCTCATCTAAAGGATTACCCAAGATATGCTTGGGCCAGCATCTGATCTCACACTTGCTTCCTGTATAACCTACTCACACTCAGCATAATATATTATAGCTAGTCATAACAAAGTAATAAGTCTGCACCATTGTGATCTGAGGTTCCTTTTGCTGTCATAACTCACAATATCCAACACTTTTTTGAGCATTCAGAAACAAAGTATATAAAATCTCTCCCTCCCCAAGATATTATATGATGAACACCAAAATTGGAACACCGTTAGGTATGAAATGTTGAAGAGAGTAAACAAAATAACCAAAGTAGAGCCCATAGCTATGAGAAAAGCGGGAGGAACTGGACAAGCTTATTGCACCAATGACATACCAAATGTTCTCGACACTGTTCAACTGCAAGAATTGGTGGGGAATTTAGACTTGAGATTGCAGCACGGCCGCTGTTTCCAGCATTTGCTATCATTAATGGTAATATATCAGTCTTATCTGTATACCCTTCGCCACCAAATACCCCAACAGCTGTTTGAATGGTCCTATGAATTCAAATCATTACCAAAGGTACAACACATGAAGAAATATATTTAGGGTACAGACGTAGCCATATACCTATCTCCTTTACTTCTACAAAAAATCTACACAGAAATATAAATTTGAGATGGGTATAAAAGCTCGCAACTAATAACTGTTATCCAAATAAAGAACCAATCCAGAAGGTTTCTGAATGTCACATATAGAGATTTGAGATGGTTTGACAGCTCGGGTGTAATAAGATGCCACAAGTAGAACTGGTGATACATGACACTGGAGTGGATTTGTATTTCAAATAGTTTAAATGGGGACATGGCACTAAGTTGACTCACATGGGAAAGGACAATCCATGCACTAGCCCATGCAAGAACCATATTACAATACCCAGCAGCCTAATGCAATTTTCAACGAAGTAAAGCAAGTCTCTTACCATATATACATAATTCTTCAGTCACTTTAATAAAAGAGATCGACTAGCTGCAATTTCATTTTTCGTTCTAAGTTGGTTATTTTTTCAGTAGGACAATAGTTATCAACAAGATAACAGGTACAATCAGTAGATTCATTTATATCAGATATACTGCCTTAGCAAGGCATACTACCTTGTCAATGGAGATGTGATGACGACATCGATTTTATTGATAAGCCCAGTTGAATGCACATGTTTACGCAAATTGTCAACCTGACACAACAGCAAAATGTCATACTTCTATGATTTAAGGGTTCAGGAAATTATAAAATTTGCGACTAATTAAAGTTATAAAGCTGGCAGCTGCTTAACAACCTGTTGCCAGCCCAGCTCAGTAAGGCGTGCATCAAAATATTCCGGTGACATGTAAGCATTGTAGTTCTTATCTCCTTCTACATTGTGGATTCCTTGGGCGTGCCTCACCTAAATAGATGTTTTATTAAGACCAGAAAGCCTTCGAATAATTTTTGAGGAAAATCCAAGACAAACTTAAGTGTCCTTCAAACCGAAGGCGCAGCATTTTCAAATTTTCTCTGAATGTAGTCAGAAACATTTTACATAGAAATCATTTTATACCAACCAGGTGAATGGTCTTGGTGCGATGCAATGGGAACAAACTCAGACCTCCACCATTATCCATGACTGCCACAGACCAAACACGAGAATCAATTAACCACACTTTCAGCACAAAACTAGTTTCTAAAACAGATGAATAATATATGGAGTCCACATCTATGCTTTTATTTTGTCGAAAATGATTCGAAAAACCAGCTGATCCTTTTCTTTTCTTCTTCTTTTTCTTTGGGGATTCACTAACTTACATTCCTCAGAGAATAACATCAAACAGCAAAGGAAACAGAAATGTGAAAAAGAAAGCTCCTAACAAGAAACATTTATTTCCGCATTCTAGCAGGAAAAGGTATCGACTAAATCGATGACATACAATATTATATAGCCAAACTAATTGATGAACAGCCAATAATTTGTCACTAATCGGTGTATCTGAAGTATCAAATTCATCCACCAACTCAATCAAAGGTCAGTTCTACAAAATAATGATGAAAAAGATTGAAAACCTAAGAGAACACCAATGAAGCAGCCGAGCGACTGAAAATTACTCAAACTGAATCCACAACGATACCAGCAACTAAAGAGCAAATCCACCAAAATCCAAAACCTCCAAAACAGATTTACTTCTCACGCAACATTCAAAATCGAAAATCCACAAAAACTCCAAAACATATTTTACATCTCACGCAACATTCAAACTCGAAAATCCACCAAAATCCAAAAACCTCCAAAATAGATTTTACATCTCACATAATACTCAAACTAGGCGTCACTAACAATTTCCTGCAACTCACCTGATTGTGAAGCCGAGCAACGCAGTGAACGTGGAGCTCCTCCAACGCGGTACGAGGAAGAAGAAAATCGGAGGTTCGGAATATGAGAGCTACTGTGGAAATTATTGGGGTGGTTGGGATTTATGCAGGTAGTGGTGGTGGTGATCATACCGGATTTCAATTTTCAGTTTTTAAAAGCGAGCAAATGGAATAATAAAATGGATAAATAATTGAACGATTGGTCATTGGTGTTTGGTTTTGTCGTCACCGCCAATCACATCTGACTCTTTTGCTCGTTGCTTTGTTTTAAACTAATATCTCAATTTTCAACTTGTATCTTGATGGGAAATGAGAAATTAGTTAAAAAAAAACTATTGTGACTTGTATCTCAATTCCCAACTTGTATCTTGATTTGACAACGAAGCGCTTAAAAAAAATTATTGTGACTTATATCTCAATTCCCAACTTGTATCTTGATTTGACAACGAAGCGCAACTTAGTGGTAAGACGCTTCACCCATGACTGATATTTCAAATAATAAAATGCTATCTTCACAGTCTAGCCGTGGAAAATTCGATCCTGCTTGGCAGTATGTTAGTTTAATTCGTGAGAATGGAAAGGCCATATACACTTGTTTGTTTTGTATGAAACAATTCAAAGGCGGGGGAATTCATCGAATGAAACATCATTTAACTGAGAAAAAAAAGGGAGAAATAGCTGCGTGTAAGAAAGTGATGCACGATGTTAAATCTCAGATGGCAGCACACTTAGATGAAGTAAAGAAAAAAAAAAGATGATCCTAATTATGATGATGATTATGAGGAAGGGAGCACGACAAATGTACCTGAAGAAGTGCGAGAAGTATCCGAGTCTACTCCGGCTACTGGTAAAGGGAAGAGAAAAGCCGTCGTTGGTCCCGTCGATAGATATTTTGCGTCTAGGACTACTCCGAGATCTCAGCCAGACCTTAAAAGTGTGTTTGCGAACAAAGAGGCGGTGAAAAATGCTAATATGGCTCTTGCTCGATGGTTCTACGCCCCCTTGCATTCCATTTAATGCGACCCAATCTTGTTATTTTCAGCCAGCTTTAGATGCAATTGCTGCCATTGGACCTGGATTTAAAGGTCCTTCATATGATGATGTTAGGGTGAACTTGTTGGGAGATTGCAAAAAAGAGTGTCAGCTTCTCGTTGAAAGTTATCGAAGCAATTGGAAGAGCTCTGGGTGCACACCTAATGCAGATGGCTGGAGTGATCAGACGCAAAGAACTTTGATTAACTTCCTGGTATATTATCACGCGGGTATGACATTCATTAAATATGTTGATGCTTCAGACATAGTGAAAGATGCAAAAAATCTGTTCAATTTGTTTGTTGATGTTATTGAATGGATTGGGCCTGCAAATATTGTGCATGTAGTGACTGATAATGCAGCAAATTATGTAGCAGCTGAAAACTTTGATTCATGATAAGTATGAAAACATTTTTCGGTCCCCATGTGCAGCACATTGTTTGAATCTGATATGAAAGACATCTCTTCATTACCTCATATAACCCACCTTGCTTCTCGTGCTCCGAAGATTACTGTCTTTGTCTATAATCATATGGTATTTCTGTCTTGGCCTAGAAAAAGGCCTGGTTGAAAGGAGATAGTACGTCCAGGAATTACTTGATTTGCTACGGTCATCATAAAGTTGCAAGCTTTTGGTGGTTGATAAACACTTTACTGGTCATAGATTAGCTGAAAGTTTTAATGGAAAAAAAGTTTGTAAAACCATATTGATGCTAAATTTTGGCGAGAATGCCAAATTACGATTAAGCTTGCAGAATCTCTTATTCGACTGTTGCGAATTGTTGATGCGGATGAAAAAACGTGTTTAGGGTATGTGTATGAAGGAATGCAAAGGGCAAAGAATGGTATCAAATAGATGTTCGGAAAAAGAAAAAGTGTGTACAAGCCTTACACTAAAATTGTTAAGGTTCAATGGGATAAACACTTGCATCGTAGTATCCATGCTGCAACTTGTTTTCTCAATCCTGCTTTCTTTTATGATCAAAGTTTCAGTAAAAAACATAGAGTGTTGAATGGATTACTTGATATACTGGACATCAAGAGCCTATGTAATGATTCGATGAAAGAGATACAGATATATAGAGAGCGCAAGGATAGTTTCTCTAGGCCATCTTGTTTACAGGCTGCAAAATCACTTACACTAGGTAAAATATTATTTATAGTTGTATAATTTTTTTTACGTACATATTGTATAACTCATTTTATTTTTAATCAATTTTGTTCCTATTTTATTATTCCAGATGAATGGTGAGGTTGTTTGGCGGGAGTGTTCCCATATTAATAAATATTGTCATTCGCATCTTGAGTCAGACCTCCTCATCATCAGGATGTGAACGAAACTGGAGTTTGTTTGATATGATCCACACCAAAAGAAGGAATAAACTGGAGCATCAAAGGCTTTGTGATCATGTTTACATCACTTTCAACTTGCGTTTGAAAGATAGGTAAGTTAATATTATTATTTATTAATTAATATGTGCAATGTTTCTTTTGTTTCCTTTTGTTACATTTTGAACTTCTCTAAATATATTATAATTTCTATATTATAGGAAGCATCAAAAGAAAAGATCTTATGATCCAATTGATTATGTAAGCATTGACAAGCTTGATTTTTGGGTCGTGGATGAAGATCCACAACCACAATTTGATGAGGATGAAGTTGGAAACTTAATTTATGATGAACAAGCTATTCCAATTATTGATAAGTTGTTTGCTTACAAAAAAATTATATCATGATTTGGTATATTTATTTTGAGCACTTCATGTTAATCTATGCTCCTTTTTTTTTTTTCATTTACGTAGATCGCAATGAAGTTAACATGGACATAAATATGCCCGATGCATCCAATTTGAACTCAGGTGATGGTGGAGATGATGGAAATGGGGAAGATGAAGATGATCTTCTTGGTTATGGTTATGCCAATGTTGGATTTGGAGGAGTTAGTGAAAAGTATGATGATTTGTTCTAGTTGGTGAATTGTGTTGTTTTGTAATGGCTTTGAACTTGAACTACTTGAAACTATTTATTTTTTCCTTTGTTGTAATGTTGGATGGATGTATTTTGATGTTTGATGACTTTGTAGTTTGTATTTGTAATTTGGATTGCCTTGCTTTAGATATTGAATTATTAATCTATTGTTTTAGTGAACTTAATTAGTATTGCTTATGGTAAACTATACTTAAAATATTAATTATTCAGCTCTTATTTAGAAAAAATGTCACTATATGCCATAAAATTAATGATAAAAATATATAAAATTATATACTATATATATAAAATAAATAAATAAATTATATATTAATTAAACCGGTTCGACCACTGGTCCGATCAGCGAACCATTGAACCAGTAGTTTCACCGGTTCGATGACCGGTCCGGTTTCAAAACATTGGTAAAATGACAGTTTTTGGGACATTTTGGAGAGGAAAGATATAAAAATATCTATGATAAATTAATTCAAAGTATTTGTATGATTATTTACAAAGTTGTGAAAAAATATATTGCAGATATTTTTATTTTTTTTTCTTGGGAAAGTTTGTGACACGTGCTAGAAAAAAATTGTAGTTGATATTATTTGTTTTGTAATTTTTTGAAGTACAACATTTTCATTTTCTTGTAATTAAATTTATACTGCTTATAATATTTGAAAATGAATGGTGCATTAAAAATTAGAAATTCATGAAACAGAAACACAGCAAAAAAAAAAAAAAAAAAAAAAAACATAGTCATGATGACTTTTCAAAATAAATTAAAGAATAATTAATAACAATTGTTACCTGTTTCAAGCATGCAAAAATAAAAAATTGTTGTAGGACCAACGTGACTTTCTACATATAGAAATGAGTTGTAGGGTCTACTTTCTAAAAATGGAAATTAACTTTTCCAATTATATATATAATAAATATATACGGCAGATTAATCCCAAGTAGGGCTAAGGGCAAGACGTGGTCACGGGCCGCTCAACCCGCCGACCTGGCCCGAACCCGGTCAAATCTGTTGACCACGGATCCGAGTCCAGACCAAATTTTCGACGGGCCATTTCAGGGTCATTATTTCATGACCGACCGGTTTTTTTTTTTAAAAAAAAAAATATATTATTCTATATTTTTTTCTTTAAAAAATGATGACCTGGCCCGGTTAACCGGATCATGGACCCGGCACGAGCATAGATCTGTGCCGGTTCAGGGTCTATGAAACCCAACTCGAAGGCTCGCGCGGGCCGGGCTAGGCCGTGACCCAGCCCGGGTTTTGGCCATATGTACTTGGGGTTGCTTGTAAGCTTGTTTAAAGTTCGGCTCGACAAGACTCGAAAATAGAAAATTTTACGTAATTTATTTAACTTTTAACTCGACTCGTCTCGTTAATGTTCTTTAATTTGAGCTCGTTTATAGACTCGTTCTTTAAATGAGTTGAGCTCGACCAGGCTTAATAAAAACTCAATTTTTAGTTGGAGTACCAGAAGCTCTATCGAGCCAACTAGTTTACAGATCTTATCTCAACTTTTGTTAATTTGCAATTGAATCTCCACCTTCCAATTTCGGCCATAAAAGGCATGGACTTTTTGAATTTTCAATTTTGTAAGTTGTAGCACATTGTCAACAAGACGACTGTTATAGGCTTACGTGGCTGACTTGTTATCTAAGGTGGACAATGAAAGGATGACACATATAAGTTTGAAAAAATAAAAGTAAAATGCACACCGCTTATTAAAAATGGGGAATCTTGATAACCCAACTTGTAATATTTTGAAAAAAAATTGGAGAATATTAAATTTCCAACTCACTTGTACTTGGATGACAGCACGTTCAAACGCCATACTGACGAGAATTTGAGTGAAAAACAATAAAAAGTAATGGAATTTTGAAAATTAAGGTGTTTGAAATAAGAACATCAACTGCTACTCTAATTATATTATTATTTCTCTCATTTACGATATGATAAGAAGAACGAAAACTCTTGGACAACTAATGGATCTTATTATTATTTCTCTCATTTACGACATGATAAGAAGAACGAAAACTCTGTTAGTTTTTGATTAATTTGTTGTCCTACGTCGGATGTATACCAAAGATGTGTAGGACATTATTAGTATAAATAGGTCCCTTGTTTTTGGGTTACAATTGCACCTTATTCTATTCTCTCCTCTCTTAGAAAGAAATCTTAATTTGTGGGTTATTTAACCCTAGTTGTATTTTGTTGGTGAGTTTA